GCGGGGAAGTGAGAAAAGAAGGGAACTGAAATAGAGACAGGAGTGACTGGTGATAGGTACTGTACATTACTTGTGGCGTGAGCATTTGTTAAACAGTGCGCGTGGGAATTTGAGACAGGTCAGAAACAGGTGTGGAATTGCGGAACAGATTTTGTACAAGCCCATCCTGAAAATGTCAGAATTTGGTCAAACTGTTCAGATTCTACTAAACAAAGCGAATTCATGAATTTATATACCTTTGTGCCGAATCCCTTCAGATTGGCTTTCTTATACTCTAAGACATTTTTGTGAATGTGTTAGTCATCTTAAAATTTAAATTTTTGACCAATAATTCACAAAATGTGAAACAGTTAAAATGAAAGTCTGTACCAACATTAAAACAAAAAAGAATCATAAGAAGTCTATTTAACTGCCAAAAGGAAATGAGAATGGTTAAGTTCATAAATAATTGAGAGTTATTGATTTGTACAAATGCTCAGAAGCAAAACCTGTGCAATGGTAAAAGTTGTATTGCAAACATATTGGTAAAGATTGTAATTAGATTGTAAAAATCCTCAATAAACAATAGATCAGTATTCTCTTATTACATTCTCATGAGGATTTTATTTCGAGATGTCATTCTGTTATTTGACATGGTGAACCCAGGGCATTGTAAACCAGAAGTGGCAATGACATTAGACAATGAGCTCTTTTTCATCCTCTTAGTTTCCTACTTTGGTTGTGTGTGTCAAAATAAGGCCCTATTCAAGCTAAAACTTGAAGTGTTAAGACTATTTTGAGGTACAGTGTGCTCAATAAACATGTTGTCAGTCGGCCCGAAGACAACACTCTGCACGCTGGACAAAGGTGAAGGTGGGGAAAAGTAGGTTCAGAGTACAGAGTGTGCAGGGCGAAGGGCACAGAATCACTGCACAGCTCCTGGCTGGAATGCCAGCTCATTACAAGGCACACTCTAGGCCTGGATTTCCCAACCATTCAGGAATCCTGGATGAATTCCACTTTGGGCTTTCTTGAGATGGCCTACCTAAATTTTACCAGTGAAATCAATTCTTGAATTAATTCCTTCTTTTTTTATCTGGTCTGTTGTGTAGTGGGGTTGCTGGCACAGAATGGCTGCCACATGTCGGTTGCGTGTTAGATGAGAGCCGCAGTTCACTGGTAGTTGAAGTGGATCCCTTCCTGTTGGTAAGGGCTTTGTGATCCTTTAGGAATGAAACCACAAAACAAAATGCAAGAGATTATTATTATTTTCATTATAATATACATTATTATGATGCACATTATGTACAAGTCTTTGTTCTTTGAAAGAAAACATTGTGGTAAATGACCACAAAAATATGGGATACTGGTGTAAAAATACTGTACATGAAAGTCTTATATGTACTCACTGATTCTTCTGTATGTTGACTCTAACAGAAGACATTGTTCACACTGTGTTGTTTCAAGTACTGAGCTTGTGATCAAACCTACTCATTTTTATTTTTTCTTATCTCTTGCAAGCTGTCACACAGCCAGAAAGCACCAGACAATCATCTGTATATATCACAAAAATTATGTTTTACATAATGTAGGAACATTGAGGCCCACCTTTGGAAAATATTTTTCTGCAAATGTTAACCCAGATAATTTACAAGACTACGATTTATGAGATTATTAGTGATTCAACCAACAATGTTAAATATAAGAATGATGTCAGAGACACTTATGTGCAACAATATTCAATGTGCATTATTGTTGTATACACCAGTCAGGGTTTGAAATGATATTGCTGCTTGGCCCCCAGTAATGCATGATGAGATAAAAGAATTAATCTGAGTCACAGCACGGATAACACACACCTGTGGAACTTTGTGTGGTGTCCAATGACTCTGTGTTCCATTTGAGAAGTGTATTCTCCTGCTGCAATCCTGATGTACAGTCCTGGTGATGGAGGAACACCGTCTGCTGGCTTTCATACCATGTCCACTGCTAATTAATTACATTACTTAGTTGACTTACTGCTTTGTTCAGACTTTTATTTGACTTGTTTCTTTGGTCAGGCTGAGTGTCAAAACTAACCTGCTTCAAGGGTACTATCTCCCACCTCAGCGTATAGAACTTTACACAGCCTCTTCTCATCTTAGTTGCCATTATTTCTGACTAAACAGCTAACTAGTTGATAAATTGATGGAGAACAGTCACAACTGGCAATAACACTGTATCAGACACACCCACTGTGAGTGTCCTTTCCTTCTGCAGAGATCTAGCAGTTTTGAAACTTAGAAACTGCTACAGGGTTGATACCAATTCCACATCTAATTTGACATTTTTAAGAGCTGAAAGCAAATTTACAAATATGCCCCAAACAGAAATCTGAACTCACCGAGCCTGTGAATGTGGCTGGAGCACAAACCAGAAGACGAGTTCCTCCAAGAGCAGTGTTGGGATCAAACACAGTAGAACTACTGAACACCACTGAACCCTTGATTGACTTAGTCATAGAATCAATTCAGACTGTTTTCAGATTTAAATATAATAACCTTTTGACAATTGCATTTCACACATTTCACACAAAAATCCCAACATTTGAGCAGTAAATAGACTTTCAGATATTCTAATCAAGAAACTTGTTAAGTAGGTATTTAAGCTCAGATGGCATGAAAACCAGCAGAAGTGAGAGTATTCGGGACCATGATTGGGAAATCTGTGCATTAGAGAGCTGTAAGCACTCTGTTGTATGCATATCATGTGCTAGATTCTGTTGCAAAGGACAATGGGTTTGATTGTGATTTCAAGCTAGTGCTTTTCTAGTATGTGCTATGGTACCTGTTATCATTCTGTGTAACTGGTGGATATTTTTTAGGTAACATTTCCTGGAGATCCATAGGAAAGATGACTGAAGGCTTTCTGTCTTTGAGTGTGCTCCTAGATGCTAGATAAGTTTTGTTGTGTTTGTACAGATGTCTGCTTCCTAAAGAGTGAAATCCATGTTATTTTCCATGCCCCGAGTCTGAGCCTCTGCCACAAAGCTTGTTTTTTCTTATAGAGTTTCTTAACCACATCCAGATTAGACTCAAGATGAACAGAACATAGTTGCCATTTCCTGGTTTTATTTGTAGTCGATGGAAAACAAAACCGGATTTGAAAGTATGACCAAATGCATTTACTGTACAACAAAGTTATCATTCTATAGTTACATAATTTTTCTTATGCTACAATTGTGTAGTTTTGTTCTGAATATGAAAATTGAAATGGAAGAAAGAAATATTCTGTTGTCCTTTGTTTTCAGACGATTCAACAAAAACAAAAATAGTATAATCCAGGATTGTACATTTAACACAATAATTATTATTTTGTTAGCAAAAACCCCTGGGGGACTTATTTTCTAAATATTTCTAATGAGAAAGCACACAATATGTACAGTACTCAATTTGTACAAACAAAAAATGCTGTATAGCAATATAAGGAAAATGATCCGTCTCAATACTGAGCCCAGCAGAGAAGTGCAGAAGCTAACCTAGTACCCATGGCTTATGAGCCTCACTCTTCATATAATTCCATACAACTTGCTACATGTTTATTGCACATATTTCAACAACACAAAGCTAATTAGTCAACCATTATTTCCTGATATGAATCATTAATCTAATAATTTTCATCAACAGAAAATGTGAACTGCTACAAAAACAGATTACCCAACACGCATCGAAATGTGTGTTGGGTAATTGCCATTTTGGATCATATTTGTAAGATGATTATGGCACACAGGAGCACAGCAGCACACAGCAGCACCATCTGACAGATTGTTTAATGTTCCTGATCCTGGCTGTTAAAAGATAGTACGACCATACCATATTGGCTGATAAGCTTAAATCAAAGACAGGTGTTAATGTCTCACATAGTGGTAACATTCGACCACTGTTTTGTTTCGCCACTACAATTAAAAGCTAAAAAATTAAGACAAAGAAAATCAGACTTTTTTCCAGTTTTATTTACAAATTGTACCTTGTAACATCCAAGTGAAAAAAGAAAGCAAAATTTCTGAAAAACAAGTAGAATAACTGGGTTGGATAAGAGAACACCCCACTGAGTTAATACTTGATGGAAGCACCTTTTGCTTGAATTACAGCCTTGAGTCTGTTTGGATACATCTCTACCAACTGCACACCTAGAGGGAGGAGTATTTGCCCATTCCTCCTTACAGAATTGTTCAAGCTCAGTCAAACTGCCTGGTGACCGTTGATGGACTGCCCTCTTCAAGTCATTCCAAAGATTTTCGATGGGATTTAGGTCGGGGCTCTGACTAGGCCACTCAAGGACATTCATCTTCTTATCCTCCAGCCACTGTACTGTTGCGGTGTACTTTGGGTCGTTGCTATGTTGAAAGGTGAACTATCTTCCCACTTTCAACTTCCTGGCTGAGGGCTGCACGTTTTCTTCAAAGATTTGCGTGTGTTTTGCACTATCCATCTTCCCTTCTGTCCTGTCAAGTGTCCCAGTCCCATCCGAAGAGAAACACCCCCACAACGGGATGCTGCCACCACCGTGCTTTACTGTAGGAATGGTGTTCTTTGGATGGTAAGATGTATTGGGTTTTCAGACATACCATTTTGCATTCCAGCCAAAAAGTTAAAAAAAAAACAACTGCTTTTATTGTGAACTAATCAAAACCACCACAATTGCCACAATTGATCACAGGTGGGAGCCAATTAGTTTGTTGTGTGATCTGTAAGGTGATTGGTTATACCTGAACAAGTTTACAAATGCAGTTGTAAGGGGGGTATTCACTTATCCAAATAGGATATTGTACTGTTGTAATATTAATTTTCAGAATGTTTTAGAATTTTATTTTCACTTGGCTAATGTGGGTTACTGTGTATAAATAAAAATGGAACATGCTGAATTTAATGTTTTTATTTTTTAGAGTGTCATACAAAAACAGCGCTTTACAGCTTTAATGGGGATCTCGTCCACCACCACCAATGTGCAGCATCCACTTGATCTTTTTCTTTCTGCTTCTTAAATTACAGACGTTCAAGCTCATAATACCATTACAAGAAACCTACTTTAGTGATTACATTTTTGTTAGTGAAATAACACAAACTTTAAAATACTGCACATTTCCCAAAAGACAAATGAAGGGCCCAGAAATAAAGAGCATGGGTCCACAAAATACTGAACGCATTAGCAAGTACAGTGTGGGTGCCAAGTGCCGAATTTTCAGCATTTTGTACTGTAAAACAGTTACAAACAGCAGTTACTGTAACAAAAGGGTTTCTGGAAAGCCCTCTTCAATCATATAACTGAAAATGACAGGAAAATGTCAAAGTCTATACTGACTCCTAATAGAATTGTAACTTCAAAAAGTTAAATCTAAAATTCTTTTAAAAAGGCTAAAATTATTTTATTATTTTTTTATTTCAAATATGTGGTTTAGATGTACAGCATTTCCTTCTTTCTAATCTTGAAGAAAGCATGCATTTGTCAAAATATCCATTTATCCCAGAGAAAAATTAAAAATACATGTGAGAATAATCTAGCAAAGTGATTGGGCAACATATTAGGTATAGAGTATATTTAAAACCATGCAATTAACATTTTGGTTATATCAATTATATGTTTTGACACTGTATGCAGAAATAGGTGACATAACAAATGCAAAAATGAGGACACTATCAGTGGAAATATTTGAGATGTATGTATTTGCTTTTTTCCAGGATTGATCCTAATAGTAACTGGATAATTGCAGTGAAATCACCTGAGGCAATGCTGTGAACACCACTAACATCTCTGATGGAGAGATCTTGAAAACATGTTCCTCACCTTCATCCCAGAAAATAGCCAATCCCCCAAAAATGCTTTAATGTATGTTCTATGATGATGTGCCATCCTGTTTAGTGCTGTAACCTCATACTTAAGCCATTGGAGTATTTAATGAAAATCTTAACATTAACTTCACTTTTAATTAGTATTTGGGCACTTGTGCAACTCACAGCTGAGAGCTGTTTGCTATCAAACCGACAGCATCCACACACTGACCATGAGCTTGCTCTTGAAATACGAGACATAAAAATACGTGCCAAATGTTTGTAATGGTTAATAGTTTTTTTTCTCAGCTATGGTATTTATGATGATAGTGCGATGAGGTATGCACACTAAGCACTTTTAAAGAATAGAAAATTGAAGTGTAACATTTTAACTTGGAAAACTTGCCAGTAACAAAACCAAAAAATAAATCAACAGATGTGATAAAAAGTGAGTGAATCTTGGCTAAAGACAACTTTCTGAATAGGATTCTCAGGGGTCCAGTCTGAACAGCTCCCCTAATTAATCATTTACATGCAAAAAGCAAAATGTTTTACTGTATATCATCCAACATGTATCTGTAGCAAATACTTAGCTCTTTTGCTTTTTTAAATATAAAAAAGAGTTGTATTTTATCGACATTACTATGGGCTTCTAGTTTATTAACACAAATAGAGTAAATAGGTAGAAAACAACTCTTTTTGAAGCACAACAAAGAAGAACAGATTTGATCAGTGTTCTAGTTGCCTACATGAGAGATTTTATCAATGTTTTTCTAAAAGACTTGTGACTTAATAAAATCGTTGTATTTACGGGTTCCAAGTAACAGGTGAATTTGCATCGAAAGTATGGCAGGATGTGCAAGGAAACTGTGGCATGATTTTTTAAATCTATGTTAAGGATGACCCTTAATAAATCAATCCAGCAAATAGTGTCTAACATTACACTTATGGATGTCAAAGTAGTTGACTCCAAAAAAGGAAGAAAGAGAGAAACATGATTTTTTTAAATAAATCTTTACTACTGGGAAAAAATCTTGTCCATAAGCTATGAGGTCCATGTTCCGGTCAGCTTTTTCCTCACCAATCTTCTCACAAAGAAATATCGGGTGTCACATCTGGGTTATGCAAAGGCACATAAAACTTGTGTGTATATGAACAATTTTCTTTTTTTTGAATTTAGGAAAATAACTTAAATAACAATCAATTATATAAATAAACAAACTTAATACTAATATAATACCCCAAATTTAAATCTAAACATTCAGCATGCAATCTGTTCAATTGAAATAATCTAAAGTCAACACCTTTATTAACAGTATATTTACACCATTGTTTGTTGTTTAAAGTTAGTTCACTTTAATGAACTTATATTAATACATGCAGAATTATGGCAGTTATCCCATTTTCATGATCATTGAAAAAAACACTGTATTGCATCCTTATATGTATAAAATTATTGCATTATATTTGCTTTGTGTGACTTGCAACGAGTGAACTGTAAAGTGTTTCCCTGTTAAGAAAACAAAAATTAAAAATGAACCCTATTATGCCAAATTTTCTCTCTTTAAAAAGTAGATCCTGTTACACACAAAGAAGGGAACTGGTGCCTGCAGGATCTGCTGCCTGTCTGGCAGGAGGTAGTGACTTCTGAGTGTGTTTTCAGATGGAGAGCTCGAGGCCCCTCGGTTGACCGAGCCCGATGTCCTGCTGTCCCTGCGGACCACGTGCAGATGCTTCCAGCCCAGCGGCGCACATCAGGCTTGGCCTCAGAAGACGAGCCGGCTGACGGTGTTGAAGCCTCCTCCACCGCCTCCCCCTCCCGTGGGCCCACAGCTCCCCGGGGGGTCGTTGTCGTCCGAGCCGTTGGGGCGGAACGAGCAGGAGGCCGAGGCAGCCTGCAGAGCTCGGGTGCGGGCGCTCAGTTCCTGCTCCTGCAGCACAAAGTCAGACACGGAGCAATACAAATAAAAAAACAGTCGGCGCACACACTGCCTTACAGCTCCTTCTCTTCTGCCAGAAACTAGGAAGCACAAAGCTACGCTCCATATTAACAGGATAAACAACCCAACTGTCCCCTTTAGAGGAAATAAATATTCTAGCAAGGTTACATACTGCCATCTAGTGGAGAGTTTCTCACACATTTTAGAAATACTAGTCTATATCTACCATTGCGAGATGCTCCATGGGGCTTTATGCAACATTTTTGAGAAAAGGATTACAAAAGTTCCTGAATTCTAATTGAAATACCACAGCTAGGTCTTATAAAAAGCAAAACTATTTTGGTTTCAGTAGAGAATAATTAGAATGTCAAATAAGGCATTTGCATGTGTCTCTTAATCTAACGGGGTAGTAATTAGCAACATTAAGAGATCACTTCTAACTAAGATATAGCCTTCACCATCGACATTTGAGCAAGCAAAAAAGTAGTGTAATGTCTAGTGTGAAGTTGGGTATTTTCATAAAGGAACCTTTCCATCTTATACAACATCACATGAGTGGTCATTTATTAGTTTCAAAGTTCTTCTGCACTTCTTATGTTATCAACTCTTACAAGATTTTTTGATGTTGTAAACGACCCAAGCTTTATGACTTTATGAACGACCCAAGCTAAAACATTCAATAAGTGAAGTTCTGATTAATCCAATTATGATGATAAATGAGGATTTTTTAAATTTAATAAATTCTAAAAAGTGGACTTAAAACAAGGTTACTTCAATATATGCCTTCCATAAAGTATTTTAAAATAAATTTACAAAAATGATTTATGAGCACGTCATTTTTCTAGAAATTACTTTGTACTGCTAAATGCACAGCCTTGATGAAGACTTAAATTCACGTCTCTCCTTATTAAATTCAAAGTATTTCAATGCTTTCAAAGGAGCAAAAACCTACAAATGACGTGCTTAGTAATTTGACTATACATTAGTTGATTTTACATCACTTTATTTACCCCATTAATCAAACATCCAGACAGTAACCTTATCCTTTGATGAGATCAGAGGCTAATATACCTCACAGCACTAGATTAGAAAAGCAATTGGCCTAATTACATAATGCATAATTTATTTTGTTCAGCACTCAACAATTATGCAAATTTTATCACCTCTTGGCCTACATGGTTAAACCACCCCCATAAGGTCTGGCAAATGCTTTCAGAGTCTAATTAAGGAGAGGCAGAGCTGGTAAGCAGGAGAGAAATTATGTTTACCCAGCTCTTCCCTGCATTATAGAAAAGACTTGCATGTGGAGCCGATTCTCCTCAGGAGAGCCAAGTCAACCAAGATGTTTTGTCCTTTTAATCCCAGTGCAGTTGTTAACTGAACAGGAAACACGAGATTACTCGAGACCCTTATGTACCTGCTGTAAATTAAGGGAATTTTTAATTTCACCTCTGCCAATTAAAACAGTGATTCCTGGTCCTGTTCCTGGAAGCTCATACACCTGCTGTTTTTTTATTCCACCTGGGCTAGATTACTTTCATTAATGCCTTATCAAAACTGTCAAGTTGCTTGATGGGAACATTTTTCTACTCAAAAGTTTGAAACTTTGTTTCTTTAAGAACCACAACGGTTAAAAGGAAACCTCCAATGTGTTTAGGAGCTGAAAACAAACAGCTCAAATGAATCCTATTATTAAGTCAGTGAAAGGTTCAACTGTGTCGCAGAGTTTGAAGTGAACAAAAACCAGCAGTTAAGTGGTCCTCAGGGATCAAGAAGAGATGGAGCAATTTGGCCTACCTAGCTCATTTGGTTGTTAGCAGCTACTTGATCAGCTTCAACAAATGCCTAGGAAGCTTGTTCAATACTCCCACAATCCTTTGGGTGTAGACGTGCCAACTATTCTAGACTTCTACTTTTGTTAATTTCCTAGTTCATAACTTTACTTTTATGACAATTTTCACTTATCGTTAGGTTAGGCTCTAAAAGCCACTTTTTAAGAAACGTATCAAACAACTCACATTATAAACCACAGAATTTTGCTGTGTAAAAGAACCATAATTTAAAATGAATAATTTGAAAACCATGTTCATATAATTAAATGCTACCAGCTTTGAACACACTTGGCCTAAGATTCAGTGCTTACCGATTCAATACCTACTCTTTCATTAAACATTTTAAAGCTCTTTAGGTACTGATAAGATGGGAGATTACCTGCAAAAACAGTTTGTTGTCTTTTGTAATTGCATCCATAAGCTCTTTCTGCAGCGGAGGCTCGACGTTTAATCTCATACCATCCTTGAGTCTGCCATCACCGCTTTTATTGAGATACTGCTTCCTGTAGATTAGGATATATGCAGTGTCCTTCGGGAATCTGCTGGTGACGTTCTGCACGGACCGGAAGGATGTAAATGTCACTCGGCTGTCATTGAAGAGAAACCAGTCCTTGGCTGTCGGAGCCACATCTACCTCCTGTGTGGCAAGGGAAGTGCAAGGCAAGCCGGAGCTGGCTGTGCCATTCAAGTCATCCTGGAGCCCAGATAAAGTGAAGTCCTGAGTGTCCTCCCCCTGGTAGCAGAGACCTGGAGGCAAGCAGCAGTCTGTGTTCGTGACATTTCTGCCGTAGGAGTAGTAGTGCCCACTTTCTGAAGACATTCCTGAATGCATGACCACTGAGCTCAGCAAATACGACATTACCTGGTCTTCCTTCTCCTCGTCCTCCTTTCGAGAGGGCTTGAGTTTTTTGGCAAGGTTTTCCCCACTCTCGGGGGAGTCCACGTGCAGAGGTGAGGAGGAGCAGCTGCTGCCTGCTCCCGTGGGCACAGCACTAGTGCGCACGGCTGTCTTGTGGCGGACAGGGAGCTGCAAAAAGAGCGGGATAACCACGTTGTCCAGGATTTTCCGACGTACATGGCACTTAGCGTCGTAGGAAAAGCGCAGGAGCGTAAGGATGAGGTATTCAGGTGCTTCAATTATTTGCATAGTCTTCTCTGCACATTGTAGCGAAGCACACTTCTCACAGTAGTACTTGTTGTCTGCGTCAAGGATCTCTGGAGCTAAGAAGTAGTTGATTAAATCTGGCACAGAAATGGGAATTCCAGTGTCCTGTTTGTCAGCCGCCAATTTATCGCTGTCTGTCAGGGCTTGCTTTTGTGCGTCCGTCGAGCAGCCCTCAAATTCACTGCCTCCGCTCACTGAACCCTGACGTGTCGTGTTTAACCCTTGCCCGGCATCTGCGCCTGTGTCCGATGTGTCTGAGATAGTGGCTGAAGGAGGGCTTCTCGGAAGAATGTTTTCACCCAGGGGCCGAAAAGCCAGCGAAAGGTCAGTGAATGGCTCTTCCTTGTTGGAGATGCTGTTGCACTGCATGCATCGTATACTAGTGGAAAGTTTGCCTCCAAACATGTTTTCAATTAGCGTTTCTTTATTGCCATGTTCCCCTGAAGAGCCGTCAGAAGAATGATCATCCATCCCTGGGGTTTTCAGAGCCAAGCCATTGCTGTCATCTATGGAGCCGAGAAGAGGCTTCCCTAGGTTCAGAGCCTGCATGGTTTTCTCTTCTTCATGCAATCTTTATTAAAACACAAGGTGTCAGATAAGAACAACCCATATTAAATGCAAACCATTGATGATATCCTGCGAAGCCACCCATATGACTAGAGCTTGACCCCAAGCCTTATTCTGAGCAATTTTCCCTTGAGGAAAATATTGCCCCTTACTGGCCAAACAAAAATAATCCTCCGAAGGTTCCTTGAGAAATTACCCTCCTTGGTCAGATTAGGTCTTGGAAATTTACATTTTTAAACTATCATTACTTTTAAAGTACCTTTTATTACAGAAATTAATACCGTATACAGTGGAATTTATGGCTCTGGGCTTGCAACAATAAGCTTATTGGTACAGATCCCAGGTGGAACACTGTTGATGTGCCCTTAGCAAGGTACTGTACTTAATCTAGCCCTCCTATATCAATCAGTACAGATTTAAGAAAATTTTGACAGAAGCATCCACTAAATTAATAATTACCTGTCTAAGAGGAAACGCAGATATTCAGAGCAGTCCTGCTGTGACCCAGGTGTGAACCATGGTGGTCTTGTAGCCTCTACAAAACTGCGGGGAGCATATGCTGCCCTCTAAAGAGAATGAATTGAAAAATAATATTATTATCCAAAAAAGATTACAGACAATAAAAATATTTACAATGCTAAGCCTCATAGAAACCACCAAAGTCAGAAACAAAACTTTGAAGATAGAAGAAGATCAGAAGATAAAAGTTGTCCTAAATAGACATTGGTTGCAGTCAAGACAAAAACTGTTTTCAGTTTAACAGAATTGGGACTTTAGAGTTTAAGAACTTGCTTTACCTCTATTCATGACATAAGGATTGTCAGCTTTTTAAAATAAATTATAATAAAAATGAGCTGCAGAAAAAGAAGACAAACCTGTGTATGAGCCAAAAAAGCAAACAGAAGCTGCAGTTTCTTCATTAGTGTATTGGATCCATTTAGATTCAGAGACAAAACAGATCGTCTAAAACTAGAAAAAAAATAAACAGAATAAACAAGCAAGACTGGCTTTCATTTCAGATGTATTAAATGTATGAGTTTTATCAACTCTAAAGACAAAGTTTTTCTCCGACTGAAATGAGTTTGATTCCATAATGACCGCAATAAATAAACACATAGCAGACTAGAAATTGTGTTGACAGCTGTCAACTAGTACTAGTACTGAGTTACCAAAATGTTACAACCAAAGCCAGTCGACTTATAAAACTGTTAGAATAAGGAAGAACTTTTATTTTTAATATTAAATGAAGTCTATTTATGCACACAATGTGGGGCACCAGCAAGAAATGGCTTTTCATTATCAAACTATACATCTAAGATTACTATACATCTCAAAATCATCTATACATCTCATAATTGAAGTATGATTTAATTGATGTTCTATTCAGTTCAGGGTTTACTTACTCTGTGGCCATAAATAGACTTTGAATGATACTATTCATATAACAGGTGTTTCCCAAGTTGATTAGGCCTGTTTTGCCAGTTTCTGATTTCCCAGTGAGCCTTAAAAATCCAGACGCTAAAGAATTAGTTTGCGATGTCCAGGCACTTTGATTCAAAATGAGTTTGATTTTTTCTTCACTGGGTTTGGGCAGATCCTTAAAAAACAAATAAAAGATTCTGACAATTTCTCTAGTGGACAAACAGGTGTATTCGACATTTTCCCAAGTTTACTACAAGACAGTAACATACTGCAGGCATTTTCATGCACAGTCATTCTAAATGGAACAAATTCAATAACCTGGTCAAAACACATTGGATATTCCTGTTATGTGTTTAAACACTTTTTAAGTTTAAATCTATTTATGAGAACCAATTACCATTAGTGCCTATCTTAATAAGCCTATGTGCAGATGCTGTTGTAACACTATTATACCAGTGTCAGGCTGGATGGACATTTTGACACACCCAAAGAAGGCTTCACAGCCGAAATGTTGTGATATCTTTCTTATCTTTTCAGCAAGGAATAAACCTTTACTTGTTGTTTTGCTAAATAAGCAGCTGTGTTTAAAGAACAAAGTTAATAACAGTTTATAGTAATATACTGGTTAAAAAAAAAGTGTTATCAAGAACCAGAAGAAATTCCCTTAATACCAATCTAAGTAAAATACACAAAACTGTAGTTCAACAAAAGGAAACGAATATTCAATTTTTTTCATACTTAAGTGAAAGAGGTCTTACCTTTATTGTTTCCAGGATATTGTCGTAGAGGTCAGGAAATCCAGAGTACTGGTACATCATACAGTGTATAAGATCAGTGAATTGCAAAAGAAAGGCTTTGCTTGTGGGAAGGCCGTCTGCTTTAAGTGACTTGACAAGCTGCACTATGTGTGGAACCACCTATGAAACAAAACAAACTGCTAATCATTTCAACAGTATGGGATAAAGATAAAATCATCCATATTAGGAAAATGATAACATAAGCCCTGACTTGGTTTTTCTATTAACAGTCTGAAACAAACTCTAACGTTATGATAACATAAAGAAGGGTAGACTATATTTAAATTTCCTCTGACATGCAAGAGCAAATTAAATTGTGGAAAGCAGTTTTGCAATGACTATCTTTATGAAATAGTCTTAATCAATTAAAAACCTTAATTAATGCTATTGTAAGTAAAACAATAATACATATATAGTAGTACATGATTCAGAATGATCTGCCTTCTCAATTAAAACCTGACAGAAATATGATTTTCAAATGATTTTCAATCACACTAGTCCATCTGAAGATAAGATTCCTATGCATTTAATAAAAAAAAAACTTTTCACGGCTTCAAATAAATCCCCATGAACGTTTGCCAAATATTATCTACAGATGTCCTAGCCTTATCTCTAGTAGGTGCTTCATTAACTCCAGGAGTAATAATTAATTCTTGAAAGTGTTTCCAGAACATGGAAGAAATTTATCCTGGTGGGATATTAAACTGCCCAAAAAACCTTCAGGTGGTAAGGATGGGAAACAACCTATGATGTTAATTACTGTAATGGTCTTCCAATTAATTTATTCAAATTCCCATGAAAACTGCTGAAAGCCTTGTCAGGCGAGCACCTCATGTTTACAGACATGAAAGGCCACTGCAAACTCTGGGAAGGAAGTCAGCCGATGAGACCTTCTACAAAAGCTCCAAGGGTTCATACTGAGAGGAAACTTCACTTAACTGAACTAATGCAGGGAGGAAAGGGTTCTCGTGGGTTTTATACATTTTTAATTGGTGTAAAAGACAGTGAACACTGATACTGCACACAAAGCGGCTTTCAGCAAAGGGATAATTGCAGAAAACAAGTAAAAAGAGGGTGTAGGTTTCCTAGTTCATTATTACAATAGGCAGGCTCACCAAGTGAAAGGCCTCTGGGGAGTGTTGGAAACTGAGAAGCATGTGTGAGAGAACAGCCAAGGCTCCTTGCCTCACTATTGGATACCAGAGACGGTTAAAGACCTGGAGACAAAACAGTTGAACAGTGGAAAAGAGTTAGAGGGGTTTGACACACAGCAATGTTATACAATGGCAGCTTCAAGAATAAGAAATGTGTGTGCATTATATGTAGGATATATAAAGGTCTGTTCTTCCACTGCCTAAAATCCAGGAAGACTGGAAACCTTCAGTGTTGACTGAAAAAAACGAGTACGAGCAAAAATAATACAAAGTTTACAAAATTGTATTAATTGCAAGGACAATTATCTGGTTATAGGGGCACTACGTATTGCAGGAATTCAACCAAAATGTTCCTTGGAGGCAAAAATGATGAAGCCTTTCAGCAAAGAGCTGAAAGTATTAGAAGGAACATCAGCACTCTGAGACTTGAGTTCGGAAAGGAGTTTTTCCATTATTAAATCAAGTTTTTCATTTTGAAATGGCCACAATATACTTCTTTTTAGTGTTAAGCAATAATCCGACTGGAATAACTAGAGCTTCTGAAATATAATCCCAGTACACTCCAATGGGATGACATGTGAAAGTGACTTAAAAGACTTGTGGAGGCCAGCTGATTAAATAGCTGTCATCAGCAACAAACATCAAGCTGAATCCTATTTGTAAAGGTCTTGCTCTTGTGCGCGTTTGCCTCTGAAACAGATTCAGCAGCAGATGAGTGAAACTGCTGTAAATCTCGTCTCCTCTGAGGTCACTCTAATTTGAAACGGGGTGCACATGACAACTGATTCTGTCTAAGCAGCCGCCATACAAACCAAAAGCAAAACGAGACTGAAGCACCAAAAACCCCAGCTTCTACCCTGGAGAAAAAAACCTATTTAAAAATCAATATGTATTGAGGGTGTTATAAATAATTTTTCATTGCAATCTCTTCAGTCGGCCCTTTGGCCCTCCTGAGGGGTCGACTCTCCCTTTCCTCAGAAATACATACCAGTTCAATTTTGAGCAGGGTGACATCTATGAGAATAGTGAACTTCTGTACGGCTGCCAGTCCCTTCAACAGTGCAATCACCCATGTATCCACATGCTGAGCAAGAGGCCATGAAAGCCAGTCGATCATTCTGGGGGGAAAAGCCCATGAAATAAAGACTGATCACAAAGCGGGCAGCACAGATTAAGTCTAAAGGGTTTACTACTGCTGCTGCAAACAGGCCGCATGAAAGAAAGCCCAGCGCCTAATGGTTTCTTTTTATTGTCACAGTACACATCACATACAAACCTTGGTTTCCTCTCCCAGTTTAGGTAAATCCTATCGCAAAACAGAAGACGCAGACCACAAATCTAACCTTACTAGCAACCTTTTTTTCTTCCTGACAGTCATTTTATGTTGTTAATCTTTACTTCTATACTTCTCTGATTTTGGGAACAAAGACGAAAATGTACATAGAACATTTATGTAGTCTATAACAGTCACAAAGCATATATAGCATTGTTTTTTCAAAATGTCTACCCGAAGTAACATTTCACCAGATGGCAAAAATAAGGAGTTTAATACACACTCATGTAGTGGACTGGAAAGAGCATAAATGCTGGGAAGTCCTGTTGGACCAGCATGGCATATAAAGTGCAGAACCAAGCCAATGGCTAAATACAGGTGTCTCTATTTTTTATTTTTCACATACCACTCTGAGCTCACCATCTCAAAATAATATGCACTCATACAGTATGCATGTTTTCTTTTTGTCTTTTACATCTCTCTCTCTGTTCTGCCTAACCTTTCCTTTTGATCCAGTCAGTATCAAAAACTGAATTTCTGTGAACTACAGTGCATTTTGAGCTTCAGGAATTGCACGTTTGTTACTGTTCAAACGTGTTAATAAGCACAGGGCCATCAGCATTAAAAAGCAAGCATTAGGAAGTGCTGATTCTTAAAATGTGTCCTTTAAAGAAATATCCTCCTACCAAAGGTGGTGTTGATGGCAAAAAGGATAAGGTTAAATGCACATCAGTTCTTGGTTTGTAAATGTAACAAAACGTTTTCTATAGAGAATAATCAATCCTTTTCTAATATATATACCTTTACTGCTGCCTGTACCATTGGGTCATATTTGCCATTAGTTTCAGATTGTTATTTCATTCACAAATCCAGTCATGTGGGAACACTCCAATCTCAATACAACCCTCATGCCCTCCGGCGAAATTGCTGCCGTGCAGAAAGGATAGAGTTGTGCTCATATGCAGAGCATATCGAGATGGAAGGGAAATGACTGATAAATACCATCTAGATTGACCTGCTGATTAATGACCCCACACATAAATCAACTGAAATCCTCATGCACAATAAGCACATGTTGAAGAAACCAAGGCAAGAAAAGTCCATTCTAAATAGTGGTGCATAAACAAAGGGGTCAAAATGAAGACAAAAATCCTAAGTGGTAGGGAGAACCTTATTATACAGTACATATAAATGTGCACATTTTTAATATTGAGGTGTTGCCATATTGTAAAAACTAGAGCTGACATAAAGCTACATGCAAGAACAATGTTAACAGCAATATTAACTGTTTTTTAAGAAATTCACACAATATTTCCAATTCTTTATCTCGGATGTATACAGACGTATACCGCTACTAAAAGCAACACCTACGACCACAAACAAATCTAAACTCTCAAATGATTCATTACATGATACTTGATTTATTCACCTGCAGAGTGCTTGTGTCATACTGGCATCTTTTACATTCTGGTCAGTAGTCAGGCTCCTAATAAGAACTGTGATCATCTGTAGAGGGATGTGCTGTATCAGGCTTGCCAATGCTACAGAAGGCTCATATAAAGGGTCTGTAAAAAACAATTTATAAATGGGTTGTCAACACATTAAAAAAGACAATTATTTATGGCAGAATTCCTCACTAGGGTCTCTCAACATCTAACCAGGAGAACCACGGATTAATCAGACCTCTGGGCACATTGCCTAGTTTGAAACAGTCAAAAAGATCAAAGTGAGTGTGATTTGATTTAGGTTTTGTAAGTCTTTAGTCCTCCGGAATCAGGAGGTAATAAAACAGTGGAAGACTTCATAGAGGAACTTGATCAGGATATCACTTACAGATGATGGAAAAACACCCTTCAAACCTAAGAACTGCACTGTTAATCTATCAAAATAAAGTGCGAGGGAGAGTCCATTATCCATTTAATTTGAAAATAATCTCTGCCTAGTGTTCAGACATTCTCCAACATGACATGGCACACTGTAGTAAGACTTAAGTGATGAAGCAATAGCTAGAAAAATAAAAGTACTTCATGCCTGCCACAAAATCAGCAGGATTTTCTTTACTGTATTGCAATAATTTTATTTTGGCAAAACCCAATTCTTCAGAAGACATTTCCACAGGAGAATATTTAATTCTGCTTGGTGATTTAAGTAGCATTGCAATTTACCCAACAATTTAAGACACGCTTCAGGTAGAGCTTTCATGGACTGGCTGAAACAGGGGTGGAAGTAGGTCATCCACCTTGTAAACTAATGAAAAGGGTTAGCCGAACAGATCCTACGACAACCGTTTTAACTTCATAAACACATATCAATCAGAAAGAAGCATGCAAGTCAGCTTTTCAAGTATTTACAAGAATTACTTTTTAAAAACAGACATTTTAGACAAATTAACAATGATAATGCTTTCAGTTTTCAACTTAAAGTTTTTAACTTCAAGCAAGGACGAATGATCATTTTAAAATCTATCAAACATCCAGTTAATGAAACTCCGGTGGATATTTAGCAGCAGTAAAAATCAGTTACAAAATGAACCAAATTACTTTGAACTCCCATTACCCTCCTCCGTGTAAGCTCTCTGAGCAGACTGAAATGTAACATCTGCCTTGAAATTTCTTCCCATTGACCTACCGGCAAATTGCATTTCAGATATAAGGCTATCTTGAACTACGATGTTGTGAATAAAAAAACCTATGCTAAGCTTAGAGGAAGTGACAAACAACATAAACAACAGACTATCCATCTTTAAAAGATGTAAGTGTTAGAACGTTTACCTAGACTTGTGAGTCCTAAAGTAGGTGAGTGATCACGTGCTTGCATTAGCCACACTGATTCTGAAAAGCCCTGTATCAGGTCTCTTATCTTTCTCCTCTCACCTGTTGATGAAATGATGGCAAAAACCTCCTGAAGCGAAGGCAGCAACGTGGCAGGCTCTGCCTTCCAGATGCTCTGCAGCAGAGTGCTGACCTTCGTCACTTGAGAGACATACTCGCGCAGCTCCTTCTCCTGGCTGGCGGAGCAGCTGAAGTACCCTATAGTTCTGACCAGCTGCTGGCAGAAGAGGGCGGCGGACTTGCCCCTGGGGATGCACTGCACGAAGTCAGAGAGCATGGTACTGAGCCGGGCGCAGAGCGGGGGGCTGGGCCTCTCGCACACCACCCTCAGCACCTCCACCTGGATCACGCCGAAGATCTCGAGCACCGAGGGACAGCTGATGAGCAGCCGCAGGCCGCCGTGGATGTAATCGACGATGGCCGGGTCCTTCCTGTCCAGCGGGCCGTAGCCTTGCTGCAGCAGGCCGAGGATGAAGTCCTTGCAGAAGAACCGCTCAAACTCGCCCCGGTGGTAGCGGGCGTAGGCCTCCAGCACCTGAGCGCCCACCTGCCTCTGGAAGGCATCTTCGCTCAGGATGAGGCGGGTGGCGAGGTGGTACAAAGCCTGGCACTGCTCCTCCGTGATATCCTTCTCTGCTGCCTCCACCACCATCTTTACAATGGCCTTTTTCACCTGCACAGGGTGGGAGGAGCTCACCAGGCCTTCCAGGATCTTATCCATAGTGGGGGGTCTACAGCACGGCGATGGACGACTTTAGAGAAACAACAGCATCTTTGAAGAAGCAGAACATGGAGAAACCAATCAGAACCAAAGTCTGTTTTTTTTCAAATGGGTTTTACCGCCGGTCGCTTTCAACAGCCTTGAGACTTTGGGGGCTGGTTTCACAGATCAAACTTGGTCATAGGCTTGAAGTATTTTTATTATTATGACAAGTTTATTTGTATAGCCCCTTTAAAAGTCGCATCCCAAAGTGCTTTACAGTACAGTCCCAGCATAGGCAGTGAAATTTTAAACAATGTGTTCACTATAGACAAGAAAAAGTACAATTGTTTGTTAATCATGATGACGACTTAGATGAAGATCACAACACCCTTTTATGAGCAATTAATGCTGAAAAACAGATCAGTTCACAAAACGTTTCTCACCACTGTAGGTGTAAAAAAAAACAGTTATAAGGATTATTACAAAGTACAGCAAAAGCCTTTCTGAAAATAATATTACACTGTTATGGTCCACAACCTGTTCAAGGTATGTAAAACTACTTCAAAAGTACTAGCCAAAATAATACTGGCAAAAAGATTTGAAAGCTTAAATTACAAAAATATTTTCAGAATCAAACATGATTAGTTACAGAATTAATTCCACAAGTATATGCACACCCATCTCACCATTTCATTAACTATACTATTTTTTACAAACATCATACTTTACGGAAAATGTTTTGTTGAGGTTCCAAGCAATTATACAATTCCAGGTTTTTGTAATAGTTATTTTCCTCAGGTGTGTTTTTTTTATTTTTTGGACTTTGTAGATTCAAATTCATCTTAAACACCATTTATAGGTTGAAAACGTGGAAACTGGTACCACTTTTGTAAGATCCATTTATACAAACCACCCACACAATTTTAAAAGTATGTGCCAATATCTGGTGTCTACGGACTCTGCTGGCAAACTACCGTAATATAAATTCCCAAAATTGTGCACCAATTGATCATGGAATGCTCCATAATTAAAAAACTAACAACCAAAACCGATCAGCAATTACGAGTTACTATCCCCCAAGAAGCAAATTAGTTTTAAGGAACTAGTTTATGTTCAATTTATGACTATTCGCTTACTAGATTGATGTTCTATCACACTTGGTGCTTCAAAATAAAAAAAAAGGTAAAGAATCAGAATTATCACCCTGGGCTCCCGTGAGGTATTTTTGACCCGATTCTTATTTTAAATTTTGAAAAGATCCAAAAATAAATATTTTTATCATTAAGGGTTGAAATGGAAAGTGAAGTATTAAGAGCGAATTATCACAAATATTGTCTATAGCCATAAAATTATGGATGTAACTCTCAAATGAGATTAAGATTTTAATACTGCATTCTTTTTCTTGAAAAAACAGTTTCGCATATCACTAACAGTATAGAGTGGTATATTCTGGTATACATTTGTTTTCGCTTTTTAAAACTGACGATTGTGACTTTCGATTTTGGAAACTTTTATTCAATAAGGCGTATTTTAAGTGGACGAAAAACAAAAAAAACTGTATTTTTCAGCATCGAACGACTAAAACGTACGAATCTCTAACATCAACAACACAAATGCACTAAAGTAAACGAAACTTTTTTTTCCACGGTGAGAAGTGCAGACTCACCTGTGCCATCCCCTTGCTGTGTTGTGAAAACAAAAGCAGGCCATCGCAACCAGAATCTATAACATTTCAAACACACACACTTTATCTTGTACTGGGAATTATAAAATAAATACTTACCTAAAAAAGCACCGTTACAAGAACTCCACGTTTTAAAACCGCAAGCTAGAAGTCTTTAATTTACACATTATTTATTTTGCTTCCTCTATACAGGATCAGCTGATTGGAAGCCATGACTGAAACGTCACTAAATTCCAGACTGTAGAAGGACCCAAATATTGGTGTCTATGTATAACGCCTGACTTAAACAGCGGAGGGGCGGGAATTTAACTCGTATTAATGGACATATTGCTAGACTGTTTACGCTAATAAAAAATATATTTGCTGTCATTATTAATATCTCAGTGCAAAAAGAATGCGCTGCTTTTAAGAACGCAGATATCTTAGTCAATGTATTATTGGTAACTTTGAAGATATTTTAAGATATTGTTCTGAAAGAAATAAACAGTTTAAAAACAACCATTAGCCTTTACCTTCCAGCTCTAAGGTAATTAAAATAACATTGATCAACTAAAAGAAACAACAGTAATCACAAATGTGTAATCAGCTAAAATAAACATGAGTCTGTCTTCTGTGTCCAGCAAATGTATGCACTTTATAAGATAAGATCAATTTTTTGGCCATATACAATTTCTAGTATTAGCAGTTTGTCTTTTTACATACCCTACCTTGCTCTCCAAGAAACACACAGACTAGCTTAGGGTCAGCCATTTACACTGCGGCCCTGGAGTAGTTGGGGTTAAGGACCTTGCTCAGGGGACCAACGGAGTAGGATTCCTCTGCCGGCCGCAGGATACAAACCGGCTACCTCCCTGCTTCACCGATTACATTGCCCCACTGTAATGAAAAGAGCAATAAAACTGTCGGTGAGCCTGTAATGTGGTCTCCAGCCTGCCATTCCCCACGCAGCCGACACAGAACCGGAAGTGTTGGTTAAAACTTTAAGACATAACAAGACTGTGGTATATATTTTTTTAAAATGTTTATTTATGCTTAATAAAAGAACAAACATTACAATACAAACAAGAGTACATATAACAATTCCAAACAAAAATATCGTCAGGGGTACATACTACTACATCAATTCAAGTTATGAAAAAAGATTAAACAAATTAAATAAAAATAATGTCCGCACCGCTTTCATATTTTTGCATTTCGAAATAGTCTGCAAATACCCCTTTACTTCCATTTTAAAATGCTCAAACACAGGGTACCTCCCAGACCAGTTCATTTTATGGATGTGATAACGTGCCAATATAATAATTAACTTTATTACAAAAGAAATGTTTATATTGTTTTCACTGGGGCTGAAACTTAACATAATATCTTTTTCAACAAAACAAATATCAATATTCGGCGCTTCTTTTATATAATTCTGCAACTTAGTCCAGAACATTTTTACCCTGGGACATAACCAAAACAAATGCTGAATAGTTTCAGGGCTATTGTCACAAAAAACACATTTGTCATCTATATTAATTTTAAATCGTTGGGTAACAAGAGTTTTAACTGGGTAAATTTGATTAATTATTTTGTATGAAACCTCCTTAATTTTATTGGTTCTACAAAATGTATTGGGCATCATCCAAATCTTTCTCCAATCAATGTGCTTTCCAAATGCGGAATTCCAATATATTGTAGTCGCAAGTAAATTATCATTTTTTAACAAGGATCTCAAAAATTGGTTATTACATCAAGACTGTGGTATATGCAAAAGTGCAATAGCACTCAGTGCTTGTATTGTATCACGTGACCTGTAAGAGAAAATACTGGAAAACACCTTGTAGGAGGCGGTTAACGTATGTCTGGTGGAGCACACAATAAAATAAATAAGTTTTCAACAGCTTGGTTGTGTTGGACTTATTTTTATCGTGGCAGAGGACAACACAAAGACCATGTTGAAATGTGGATGCTGGGTATCCCATTTGTAAACGTGTTTCACAAGGGTGCACACGAGCTCCACAAATGCACCCTCTATGCGCCCTTCCCTGAAATCCGCAAGGGAGCAGACCTCGCTGAAGAGAATTCCCCCCAAGTCCTCGTAGAATGATCGTAGATCCGACCTATCTAGGCGGAGAAAAATGCACAGTAAAATACTCATCTGTCAGTAAATCTATACGTTTTTACATTTAGAAAACTCATAATATTTTATGTAAAAACAATTTCATTAGACTACTTTTAACTCATAAGTATTCTTGGTATGAAGTAAAGCTATTTTTCTGTCACCCTATTTCAACTGACGAATATACTGTATGTTTGGTGTATTTTGTACATGGAAAGACGATGTATTTAATAGTACAAAACGTGGAGGTATTGCCAGGTTTACCTTATTTGAAACTTTTGTCCACTTTGAATAATCCTGTTAAATGTGAATGCATTCAATTTAATAATATGACCAATTTCTACAGAAAAATACCTTCATTACTGTGAATCCGAACTCTCTGATATCTAACCCCTTAATTTCCATTGAATCAACGGTTTCTAAAATATGATTTTCTGAGGCCCTTTTCCAGAAACATGACCACAACTACTATGTAATAGCAGAAAAGGCTGTAATAGGAAAAGTTTAGATGATGAAAGAAAAAGTAACTACACACATAACACTGAAGAAAGACAAACTTCTATATTAACTAACACATAATGTAAAAGAGGCAGATGACTCGATGGTAATCTATCAGTTGGAGTTAAGACAACTAGAGATACCATTCTTAAGCCATTAACAAAATGATTCCAACACTCACTCAAGACAGGGATAGTACCAATTCATTAAAACATTGCTAAGGTAGTGCCCATGCAAAAATGAATAAAAAACAGTAAGATCTATGATCTATAGTACAATCAAAGATCTGTTACCCAAGGAGAAGCCATTACCCTTTTTTTATTTGGACATTTGCTGATTAATCTGGTTAATGGTGTCCTCTGAAAGCTAAGTAAGGCTGCTTGCTTATGCTTCCAGTCATACTGCCATTTCTTTTAATTTTGTAACACCTTCACCGGGTGGTAGTGAGTCCATAATTGTAAGTTTGTTTTTGGCTTTTGATAGCTTCTATCTAAAAGAATTAAATGTATTAATATCAGGGGGAAGGACATAATTTATTTTTAATTGAATGCATTTAGCCATGGAGTGTTGAAGAGGAATCTTGTGAAGCTGTTTGCAGATCTAACCACTTACAGTTTGTCATTATTGTGTGCAAATCTTTCCATTTACTTCCATTTTCTGTCATCAAAGTAAAAGAGAATTCATGAAGATATAAAGAATTCCCTGTTTTGCTTGTGTACAGATATTGAACACTCAAGTTACTCAGTTTCAGAAATATAATAATTACTACTACTAAGGCTCCACGGCTGAAACGTTGTTTTCTTTCTTCTTTTTTTCAGCATGGAATAAACCTATTACTTGTTCCTGTTGTTGTTCCTGTTGTTGTTGTTGTTGTTGTTGTTGTTGTTGTTGTTGTTGTTGTTGTTGTTGTTGTTGTTGTTGTTGTTGTTGTTGTTGTTGTTGGACACCAGAGCTCCCCAATCCTGGTCCTGGAGGGCCAGTGTATCTACAGCTTTTCTATGTGTTTTTAAATCAGTAGCACCTGATGAGCTAGGATAAGCTGGTGAATTGTTTCAATTAAGTCAGTAATGAGGTGATTTAGGTCATTATGAGCTACATTGGCAGGAAATCCGTCAGACACACAGACCTTCCAGGATACATTTCTGTTTTGTAAAATTAGGCTGTTCTGACCCATTACCAACTTCAACTATTTGAACAGTACTACTAATAATAAGATACATATCGAGAAGATGAGATTTAGTTATATAGTAATATCACACTTTGTTCAAAACTGTAGTCAGAATTGTGGAATAATTTTAATAGGTGCTGGAGGGATGACAATGATTCAATACTTCACCAATTGCAATAGTGGAAAAGTTAAGCACTAATCTTTGAAACAATTTTCAATTCTAGAAGAAGATTGATTTTACTGGTTTATACTCACTCAGCTTTTATTCTAAAAAAAGCTATTGGGGCACTATTTTCAATTGCAGAAAAGGTTTTTGCCTTTTGATTACTTTTAAGAGAGTAGTCTCCAACATGTTCCCCTAGAGCCCCAATCCTTTAGGGTTTGTAGGAGTCTTCAATTTAGTAGCTAATGAATATCTTCACTACTTAGGAAATTCATTGATTAAATTAAAATAATTCAGAGTATAGTTGGAATAAAAATCACAAGAACCTAATGGGACAATGGTGTTTAGCTCTTGTTTTGGTCAATGTCAGCCGAGAAAGCTTTAGTTTAGCATACGTATCACTTCTTGAATCCTGGCAGTATGGCATCTGACTATATAAACACAGACAATAAAATGCTTTTAACATGACTGATATGTATGATTACAGACACATACTGTTTGCACAATTTCTTCGCGTCGGTGGAGTGGGACATAAAATTATGATTTTTCTAGCTAAAACAATTATATCAGAATTATTGTATTCATTTCTTGTATTAGCATCACAGTGCTAAAAAAATAGATTATATTCAACCTAAGTTGAAACATGTACTCAACTCTGAGTTTAGTACTGAAATTGTAAATGCACATTTAAATTGGATGAATTTTGAGCTGTTTCTCTGGTGGACTGACTGAGAACATTCTGGGCTTTTTTCTGAATTCCCAAACCCAGATACAGTATTTTGCTCTGCATCGATGGGAATCTGAGGAAAAATGTCTGAAGTACAATACCTCATTTCCATCTGGCACTGCCTCAGCTGCTGTCCCACTACACACTTTGCAGTCTAGACAGAATGAGCTTTGTACTGATTTTCAGATGATACCACTGCTCCAGCACGAATGCCAGCAAAATATTCTGTATTTGGTTCTTTTGCTGCTGAATGTCTTCTTTAATGTAGAGATGCTCCCTCTTCTACTTCTTTTTTCCCTTTGGCTCGTCTCCAGCACGGTGTCTGTGGAGATGATCTTCTCCAGCTGCCTCTTTTCTGCATGGGCCTAGCTGAGCTGGGACCCCAGATTTTCCATCTGCGCTCGGCCCTCCTGGTGCACTGCATCACGCTGCTTGTGCCGGAGGGGGGATGCCAGGGTCTCGGATAGGGCTGAGGAACAGTTATATCACCTCCAAGAGATAGAGAGAGCTTGGCCAGTTCACTGGACTACAGTAAATGCTGATGCAGTGCCAATCCGAACTGTTAAATATTACACAAAGTGTAATTCAGTGGTTATACTATA